GTGTGTTTTAATGTTATAAACACACAGTTCTTCGCCATATGTTTTAATCATAAAAATTTCAACAATTTTTAATCTTAAAACTGCGAGAACAAATGTGTACAAACTGATTTTGTGTGGCCTATGGTCCTTGCAATTTTAATCCTTGATCTTCGGGACCTCTACAGCTTAATTATACGCGAGCTATAGCGAAATCTCTAGTAACCTTAGTTAATCTCGCCCGACTGCAGAAGTAAGAAGCTTCTTGCCAAGGGGAACACCGCCCCTGCAGTCTCATCGACGAGAGACAATTAATAATAATTAAATTCGAATTCAGCATCTCTCCGAGGGAGATCCCCTTCTCAACCGAGCAAAAACATCGTTGATCTATGCCCCCGCCCGCGTAAGATTATAAATGTCATCGTTCGCGTAGCACTCTTTTTTTCCGCGTAATATATATCCCCTTTGTTCCTCGGGCGCGCGCACGCGGCGGACCTTGACGCGGCAGAGTATTGCGCGGCTTCCTCTTCCACGGTGAGCTTTTTGTTCTTGCAATTAGGAACAAGGCTGTTTGATAACCCGCGAGAAAATTCACCGCGTCATCCAGCCAACTCATCGGGCGCGCGGTTACGCGAAGGAGTTTACGGAGAAAGAATTTTGCGCGTCGAGGAAGTCGAATGGAAGGCGCAGCATCCGGAACATCAATTATTTAGAGAGGCCATTATCGAACGCGCATTTGCATTTGCATTTGAATCCGATGATGGAACGCTTTTACGAAGGAACTATGAGGATGCAATTTTACACGTCAAGAATTCTCCGTCTCTTGTGTTATTGCGACGAAAGAGAGAATAAGTTACGGCTAAGATTTATTTCAACAACTTATTATTGCAAAATTTATTCAGCTTTATTTGGAAAATAAATATAGAGATAAATAGAATATAGGCTAGATAAGAGTTTTTAAAAAGATTTTCAAAGATTTTCAGAAGTCAATTTCTAATTTTGTTAATAAAACAAGTTCAATATACACGTATAGAGATGCGTCACACCCATCGCTACTTATATCATTACACCTAATGACTTCCCGGACCCCCGTTTACAGAAATCATTCCAGTCGTATATGAATGAAATTACTCGTCTCTCAACGGGGGTCTCGCATTCAGGGTGGTAGAATAATAAATTCGACGGAGAGAGAGAGAGAGAGAGCAACAGACCCCATCGAGCGAAATGTGCATGACTTCCAATCGGGCCTGGGGCTTTTAATCGAATCGATCCGTATACGATATGTATACGCGACGCGGCAATTCGATCAAGCAAATCGCTCGTAGAATTACGCCTGCCTGGACTTACGCCGTGCCCTAAATCATAGCGGGGAGAGGTGGGCGCCCCCCGTTGTATAAATCATCCGCGTAACCGGAATAAACGCGCGCGCGCGTATCCGAAAGAATCTATTAGAAGATAATCGCGGACCCCACATCTTCGCGGGCAACGCCGACGAGATATATTTTGATTTGTCACAGTAGTTGATACGCGCGTTTATGCGAGTACGCACTATTGACGATTGGACGCGTTACGCCTGCGATACGTAAGGGTGGATCTGATGGACGTGAGAGAGCCCGAATAGAGAAACTTTTATGCACCCCCTCGCGTGCGGGTCCTCGGGATTGGAATTATTCGGGGACGTTAGACTGCTTCGGGAAAATCTAACATCTGAGTTATGCATAAACCTAATCGCGTGAACAATCGCTTGTAAGAAATGCTGGACGGTCCTGTAGGATTTATTAGATGCGGCATTTTTGGGAAAGTATAAATTTGGGAAAGTATGATAATTAAATACAATTTATATCAAAGAAGAACGAAACGCGCGTACATCTTCTCTATATTTAAATTTTCATTTTATTCCATTTTACCACAAAATTTGCTTTTATGAATTGAAAGGCTTCCTAGAAAAATTACAACCATTATTTTTATGAATAATCATGTTTCAATGGAAAAACATAATTTGTGCATTGGTGTGAAAACGTTAAATGCAATGTTTTTCCACGCCTTTTAATTAATATAAAACTTTCCCAAAAATGTTGTATCCAAGAATAATGCATATCAATTCCTAAATGACAATTTAGTCTGAAATAACAGTATTTGTTTAAGCGCGCGAATGTACATCTGCGTTTCGCAGCTGTTAGAGGGAAATCGCCTCTTTTTATATTAGTGGGAGTGTTTACACAGATTTTTTTGTGTTCCGATATCGGAGGGAATCTCGCGCTATTAGTTTCACGCGGTGGACTTCAACGTCTTGTTTGCATAGTGAAGTGCCGATAATTTTTCCGTAAACTGTTATTCTAAGGGAGAAACTCACTTTCTACACCTTCTATTCTTGCCTTACGAAATCCATTTCGTTACAATAGCAGCTATTATCGTACACAAACATAACTCTGCCCCCTTGTAAAGAAGTTATATCATTACTACTACGTTTAACTGTATGAAATAACATTAGATATTATTACTTATTAGCTTGCAACAATATAAAATTCGTATCAAAATTTAGGAATATTATAAAATGTTATTCAATTTGTATTTTATATACATATATATATGAATATTCTGATTTATCAAATGTTTTTCATACTAATTTAAAATATATCTGATATGATCTTCTAAGTTATATCGAAGGTGATTTTAATGTATAATTATAATAATTTTATTTAACACGTATGTAAAAAGTATATATCAAAATGCGTAACATGTAAAGTTGTAAATAAAATTCTATCCTGAAATCTGATAATTCTGCGAATTATAGATTGTCTAAAGTCCATTTTAGAGCGAATTTTCATTCGGTCTGATCATTGAATTATATAATGACATTGCAAAGAATAACATGTATTAAAATTGAAGGATAAATTCTAGTCTATCTTCTTGAAACTTCCATAAATCTCTAATACATATTTATGTATATTTTACAATCGAATATTTTTCGAAAGCGCGATTTTTACGCGAGTAATTACGAAGATAAAAGATAATTTAGTTAATCATCCGACTGGGATCGCATCTCGAAAGAGCGAAATGTAATATTTTATAGACAGTCTTCGAAGACAGAATTTTTGCAGCAGCAACTTCAAGTAGAAATAATAATAATATCCAAAGACAAAAGGTAATTCGAGCTGATCTTAGTCAATCGCCTCGAGGAATCGCGTCCATTAATTCGCGAACGCATCGAGGCGTCCCCGGGTAATTTTAATAACTCACAACGGCCATCGTATAACGCGCGCGGCCGGCCGTTTTACGCCGGTCGTAAAGCACTTTACAACTCGGTTCAATAAAAAAACAATTCAACAATTTCTCCGTCGGGATCAATAACGGATGGGAGCCGATTGGATCGGGCTTTAACCAATCGGAATTAGCCGCGGTAACCGAGGGGATGGATTTCGCGGATTCTGCGCCATCGGATCGGCAACCCCATTGGTCCCGTTGCTACCGAGGGGGTTGTAACATTTTATCAGGACGAAACTTTACAGATATGGACGCTCCGAGAGAGTAGCGGGGACGACGACGTTGCGCCAAATGAGGAAAAAAAAAACGACGACTTTTGTGTCGCGCTCTCTTTTTGCCAATATATATTTTGCCGTGACGTACACACAATGGAGCTTTCCCAAACATCGAGAAAATTCTGGTTACGTACTTTTTTTTTAATTGATAGTTGATACATGGGTTGCGAAAAAGTCACTCCAAGTACGTGACAGCAAAAGCGATATCGTGAACATTTGTTCAATGGCGCATTTCGAATGCGCGTCTATTCGTCGAGAAAATGCAAGAAATAGAAAATGGGAACACTTGCGTAAGAGCGCGAAATAAGGTCGCGCGCAAGTGGAAAAGCGTAATAAAAGAAAGAGATAAACGTGTCATCTTTCTTATGTTAAACGAAATCTAGAATTATTTGCCAGAGAAATATTGTTTTGATTGTATATCATCCTTATTAACACTTTGATTGTCATGTCACCCACATCTGAGCAAGATATAAAATTCGCGAAGATCTCATCATTCATTTGTGGATGATGATTTTATTTATCCGATTAAGAATGATTTTAGCAAATACTTAAGACGTTAAAGAAACAATATAAATTAAAATATTAACAAGTATTTATTAATAATGTTAGATTTAGTTAGTCAAAGTATTCGGAACAAATTACTTAAATTTTGGATTTACTCTAATTTAATTTAATTCAATTCAATTCAAGTGCTACTCATCGCTTTCAGATGTGCGTAATTTTGGTTAATAAAGTAAGAAAAATATATAGAAAAGTTAAGAAATAATAGATAATTAGATCATAATATAACATAATTAAAATTATATATATACATATATACATATATATATTATATATAACATATATATATATATATATATATAAAACTTTGTAACAATTTCATATCTGTTAATAATAATAAGTTTTATCAAATTATTAATAGGAAAAAATATATCCAGTCCCAATTTTTTTTTATCATTCTACATCAATGTATGTACCACTAAAAATGACGTGCTTTAACTCATTAAAATATAATAAAATATATAACATATATATATATATATATATATATATATATATATGTTATATATATATATATATATATATATATAGTAAAATATTTTTCTTTTAAATATTTTCCTCCACATCTATATTCTCATTTATAAAGAAAAAAAGAATTATAATTTAGAATTTTTAATTTAAAAATTTTTACACAAAAATCTAAATTTTCGAGTAATTGATAAAATATTAGAATATAATCTATAAGTAAATTGCACTATTTAAAATTCTAAGAACTGCGATTTTGAATTTGGGATTTCAATTCGCGAAATAAAATTATTTGTAAATGTTAAGTTGTCATTAATCATTGTGCAAATCGCAAAAATATAGAATTTTTTTGTTCAAGCTTTCATTCTATCTACTCATGAAGGATAGAACATTCTAACATAGGACATTCTACATAGGACATTTCAGATGAGTAACAGAGGATAATATATAAAAGGTAGATTTATAGTTTTATATTTATTTCTTTGAAAAGTTTGAATTATAAGCACAGAGAATTAAAATTTCATTCTGTGTGGATACTGACTGCTTCGTAGTCCAAACATCGCTGACAGATACGTGTACACCATCTTTTTATCTGAACGCTTCTTAATTTCGCGCAGCACCATTCCGTCAACTAATTTCTGGTCAGTCTTTCTCTGATCGCTCGGTTTGTACTCCTCCTTCTTCTTGCTGAAAATGTCACCCTCCTCCTTCTTGGCACGCTTGTCACGTTTCCTCTTGAAGTAGTTGTCATTGATGTGCGAAGGCAATTTCGAAGCAGAGATTCGCACTTTTGTGGATGTAGCAATCACATAATTTTGACTGACTCTTCGCAAAGGACAGCCATTGATCAGGAATGGTCCTACAATAATTTATTAATTATATAAATTATACAAGTCTTTCGTATTAGTTTGTTAATAAAATATATATTTCAAAACGTAAAATTCAAACGTACCAGTAATCAAAAGCAGACCACTCTTCAATTGTTTCAAAAAGATCACTCTCTTTCCCTTATGAGGACCAGCCAAGAGGATGCAGACCGTTCCCGGTATCAGGGTAGGTCTCAGGTAACGACGATGTTCATGGAAACATTTCTTGGCGTGATGCACAGTAACCCGATCAGCAGTAGGATAGTTCGCGCGTCTCTTTTTCAAAAGCACAATACGCTTCTCTCCATTCTTGTCTCCGCCGATCTGCTTTTCGATGGTCAATGGCTTCTTGGGTTTGACCTGCGACATATACATTCATTGATGTAAGTTGAATTTGCAAATGTGATAAAGTATCAATTAATTACTCATAATTATTTTAATAAATTAATTTTACCACTGCATCAAATAATTTCAAAAGATATTAATAATTATCTAACATAATTCATGTATGTGTATATTTTCAAATTAATAAGCAACTGCTTACCTTTTTGGGGGTCTTCTTCCCAAGGAATTTATAGATGGCCTTTTTGTGGTACATGCGAGTACGACTGAATCTATAGACGCCGTTTCCTAAGTCATAGTTTCTTGGCTTTCCCCTCGCAGGCTTTCCCTTACTCTTTGCACCTTTTTTGGCTGCAGCTGGGGCGGCTGCAGCTGGGGCGGCTGCAGCTGGGGCGGCTGCAGCTGGAGCAGCCGCAACCGCTGCAGCCTTCTTCTCCGGTGTTTTAGCCTTTGTGTCCACCATCTACGAAGAGAAAGATTCAACTAGATATAATTATGAAGTAACAAATGATGAGGTATGAAGAAACAAATTCTATACACAATTAAGTAAATAATCAAGCTCGATATATGCAAATAAGAGACAATGATCAATAATACAAGCTAATACGATTATTTCACGCTTTTATAATACATGGCAATGCCGTGGCTTAAAGGTTATGTCTAGTTATGCTTCCAACACGCTTCAGGTGTAGGTTATGAATGTGTACGAGAAAAGAAGCAAGTAACTTAACAATAGTAGAAATTAGAAATAAGCCTTACAAATTCAAAAAACTAATGTATTACTTTTATTTGTAATCTAATTTTATTTATTTGTAATCTGAAATATCAAACACAAACGGTGCATATGTATACTCGACGGAAAGGTAAAACCGCTCTCGATATCGCGAAAATATAGCGTCGCCCAAAGAGATCGGTCCCAAATTATATGATTTTCACCTCTAAATTTCGATATATCTTTGCTATAACAATCGGATTTCCTCGATTACGTTAAATTACTCGTCACATTACAATCTTACCGTAGAGCGAACGGCCGAAAGAACTCAGAACATGCGTAACCACTACATCTATCGGAACAGATCTGAATTATAATCGAAGTTAAGCATCGATGTATGTGTTTCGAGCTGTATCGATAATGAAACGCATTAACCTTCAAATCGAATGTCACGTGTCACCAGTTTCCCGCAAAATGATTCTTGTAATTAATAAATTATTATTATACGCACCGTAATAACGTTATAATGAATTAAAAAATGATAAAATAAATTAGATTATATGATCAATTTTTGCCTTCGTACTAATGGCAGAGCAGCATTAATCAATACAAATTAATTATGATGAAGGGTCAGATACGTGTGTAAAAGAATAAAAATCTATGTAATGTTAACGTCAATTAATCCGTACAATTTTTTCCTCGTTTTCCATCCTCTCTGTCAGATATATTTCCTCATACGGCTACAGTAGTCAATAAACTTTTACAAATGCAATGATGCCGGGAATAACGAACTTGCGAGATTCTATTTCGAAACCTGTCTTACGCTATATCGTAAGTCTACTCATGCACCTTACACACGTACATACATTACTCAGGGTTCTTTTATCACGGCATTCGAAAACGCAGTCTCATTGTACACATTCATATTTAACACACACGACAGATTTTAACACACGAAACGCATTTCTCGCCACAGTACAGTAGTCTCTTGACAGCCACCAATAGCCGGGTGCCGACATTCAAAATTGTTGTTATTACATAACGCGCGCACCAGATGCGCTGTGATAATTTATCTCTCCTTGCTCCGAAGTTCAAAGTGGAATGCCGACGACCTCATCATCATCATGCGTGAAGACGAAAAAAAGTGACAGTTTCTTAAGAAATAAAATAATCGTATATTCATGTACTAAATGCGTGATACAAAAAAATATCGTACAAAGATTTACAGCTGCGTTACTGTTGCAACGAAGATATGCAATAATACAGCGGATGTACAATAATACAGATTACAAAAATGAAAAGTCCACGAAAAACGATGTGTGTGTGTGCGTAACGATAAATATGTTTTGCGACGATTGACGAGTAAAAAAAAAACTATATATTATATATTATATAACGACAAGAAAAAAAAATCGTGAGACATCTTTAATAACTTCCAAGGTTAACACTATAAACCGTAAGTAATCTTCAACTGAAATCATCCCTCCAAACCCCATGCGCGCGTTCTTATCAGTATTTGTAATATAGATTGCACAGCGTTAAACGCACATTGCACCGTAATATGGAGATGGCTTCCAATTTGGACATACAAATGTGGAGATATTTAAAACACGACGGCACGTCGCCGCGAGATGTCCTCGTGTCCTCGTGAGATAATATCCGACACAGGATGCTGTACAATTTTCGCATCGATCTAGCAGATGCAAGATTTACATTATGTCGACACACACGTCGAGAGACACGCATATTCTTCGCGGATTAACGAGTAATAAAAATATTTAATTGTAATGCAAATTTGCATTGTAAATTCGCCGATGTGGACGATGTGTACACTAGTAGAGCTTCTTCATCTGTGCTTCCTTATTGTCCCTGTAAAGTGAAAAAAAAGTGACATTACCTATCTTTTTGTACGTAGGAATAATAATTGCCAACGTATGCTATTTACGTATAATTACCGATAAAGACTGTACACCAATAATATTATCATCTGTACAGCGATGAACAGTAAAAACACGGTAGTCGTTAGACAGTTAGGGCAATCTGCGCTTCCCGTAGTTTTAACATCCTTCTTCAACGTGTTAAGCCCGTCCCGCATCTCAGTCATAAACGACTGATAATCGTATCCCATTGGCTGCACCTACGAAATTCATTGACATCAGAAAAGTTTTGTGAGATTCATCTATTGTTTATAGATACTGAAAATGATATAAACCTGTGCTGTCGGAGCGCGCGCTTGATTGTTAAGAATAGATTCAGTCTTGGAATGAACTTCTCCCATGAAGGATTTAATTTCCCTAGCTGTATTCAATATGATATTTTGATTACTCAGCACAGCGTCAACTTCCTGCCGACGTATAGTATCGATCAGCACAGGCTGCTGTCCCGGCTGGCCCGCAACTTGTACACCTAATTACGCATTTAGAGCAAATTAATCGATATATTTTATTGTCTCAATATTATAACTCAATCGTAATGGTCGACTTACCCCCTTGTCCAACTTGAGCTATTAAACTCAACGTTCTCTCTTGCCTTCCAATAACCTCATCTAATTTCTTGTGAAGATCGCGCAAGGCGTTAAACATCTGGCTCTGTCCGGTGAATATCTGTCGTAATTCTCTTTGATTTTCCGTCTCGTAGAATTCTTCGAAATTTTCCATCTTCTGCATATCCGGATGCTCTCTGTCAAGATAATACATCAAAAGGCTTGTATTGTAAGAGTACTGTGTTATCGCATTGTATTTCCTTACTTGCGATATTCCTCTTTTTGTTCATCCAATTTCTTTTGGTAGTCTAAGTATTCCTGCTGAAGTTTGGCTTGTTCCTCTATAGAAACTTTATTCCCATCCACCGGTAGCTGTCCAGGAGGATATAAAGAAGTGGTAAGGAAATATAACACGTCGTGATCGTCGGCCAGGCCACCTGGATAATCAGAAATGCATAAATAAAACCGCGTGATACATTATTACGTCTGTATATCATATCAATATTTTTTTATACGCGTACCAGTAGTGGCAGAAATTCCAAAGTATCCCTGTTTCGGTAAGATGACATTGTCAACTCGGAAGCAGATATCATAATCTTGCTCGTTGTTCGTCATACCGTTATGGAATAGCAGCTTGAATAGAAAAGGACAATCAAATGAGATGTCAAAAGATAAAAAAAACTACTAGAAAATATGCACTCTAGTGTATACTTACAGTTAACGAATTCATATAATACTCTATCCGTGCTCGCGTGGCGAAGGGTTTGTTGCGGAAATCTCGCAAACAGCCTGCCAATTGCTGCGTAGAGCCATCGCTATTTTCAGAAAAAACACGAATTACATATAACCGATTCAAACATGCAAGTCACACGTAAGTTGTTAAATAACATAATTTATACTTCATATGATCAAAGATCTTGGTGCCATCGTTAACGATCGCCATGATATATGGATTGTTGTGCTTATTGTCATTGTCAAATGAGTCAAAGAAGACTCCAAGACCATTCCAGAGGTCCGAGCTGCCAAAAACTGTGCCGTTGTAGTGCCCCTTCTCGCTCGTGTACCAGAATGCCAAACCATCTGCTCCTATCCTTCCACGTCCACTTATTCGGAATACTATTTCAACCTCCCACCATTCGAAAGTTGTTGGTTGCTTCACCCATATTGCACCTAAATAATACTTTTTACATAAATCTCTTAGAACTGTTATGAATCAATTTAATAACACACTTTAAAATTAAATATTTTGCATAATTCGAGTATAAGCCTTATAAGAATTATGGATAAATACAAGATTCAGCAAAATTAAATTTAACAATCAAAAATAAAGAGCCAAGTTAGATAATGCAATATAAAAAATATAAGTGTTTATATCAACATATTTATAAGAATTATTTTTAAAAATATGTTCCTAAAAAAGCTTTAAATATTAACATAATTATATGTGATGACACAAACCTTTTTGACTTCTAAGTGACGGTGCTACTCTGACATTTTCTGAACTAGCAATAGCATCTGCAATTTAAAATATAAGTACATGTTTTTTTAAGAAGAATACAAACATATTACATTTATATTAAATATGTGATATTTATATTAGACATATTGTACTTGAAATCAGATAGAAAATAATATTAAGATTGCTCCTTTCATACGAGACGAGTAAAACATATGTTTAGTTAAAGTCAACATAACACAGCGATGTTTAGCGCTGCTATTAAATATTTCTTTAGACTATTATTATCAGACATGTTTTTATACAAGAGAGGAATGTTTCGCTATACTTTAATAATACTTTTTCACCATTTTCATGGATATAATTTTATTTCTTTCACTCTGTACGATTTCCATTATCGCGGCAAGCGCTGAGTTATTATCAAGAAAATAATAATTGAATGTTAACAGCGATTCTCGGAAGCCCGTAATTGTAGCGTATCGATTGCAGGATCGCAATTGATTGCGTTCGGTAAACCGGTCGTTACTCGCTGCTTTACTCGACGTGTGTACGGCGAGCGAGAAGAGCGTGTAACACACGTCATCAAGTGTTTTGATCGCTCTCGGAGATAACCGCTGGTGCACGGCGGCAAAATTATGCAGCGCGATCGAGAGCGAGAGACGACGTTCGTTCGGGGACGCGAGAAAATCGCCGGGTTCACCCGCCGCGTCGTCCAGATCGGCGTCGCCGGGGTAACATACGGAGTCCGCGACGTCGGCGCGCGACAGGTGTCGCGTGTTAGGTTATACCGTAACGCGGCCGGGGGGATCGCCGCGTACTCACTTCCGCCGTACTCCCAGAACGGTACGCTGCCGTCCTTCTGCGCGAGATAGGGTGGCTTGAACGAGTACTTGTACTCGAATTTCCGATGCGGCGCCTCGCCGCGGCACGACGACACGCCGCACGACAGGAGGAAAACGAGCAGCCACCTCACCTCGGCGGCCATCTTCATTTCGACTGACGGCTGACGGCCGGTCCGGTCGACACTCGACAGCAGCACTCTGAGCACGCTGCCAGGGAGAAGCGTGAAAGCGCCAAAGCGGCCACGCCGACCTTTTGCGTGGGACCGGCGATCTCCCCCGGACACTAGCGCTCCGTGTCCACGTTTTCAAAAAAGGAACTACGCACCACGTCTATCCAAGTGCCGACGGGAGAGAATAGGCGCAATGTGATCTGATAGGGGCTCGACGAAGCTCTGAAAAGCAACACGCTGGATTATTACCAATATATCTGCAATCCTTGTATTCTTTAATGTTGTCTCATACTACCTTGAAAAGAATTAAACGATAAAATAATTTAAAATATTGTTGCATCATGGATGATAACGAAAAGTCGAGGAACATCCAAATCCTCCGCCGACGGGAGACAGTATAGGCGCGATAATTTTCCGAGAAATGCCTTTATAGTTTATACAGTAGCAATTTCACGTCTCTCGTTAATCATTATGCAACAATAACGTTCTCGAATATATTTTATTATTTAAGTCTTCTCGAGAAAGCACGCTTCGCATTTAAGGGCACGTGAAACTGTTACTATATAAAGTATATTTCTCGAAAAATTACGCCTCCCGTCGATCACTGTCTCCCGTCGGCGTTTGGAGCTAATTCCTCTTATTAATAAAACCTTATTAATAAAACATTCTAGAACATTATTGTTACATAATAATTAACGAACGATTTTCAGTGTTTATTATGTTTTATCGTAAGAAATAAGTTGCCGCGCCTTATACGTAAATTACTTATTTGTCATAATAAATTTGGAGTAATTTTAATGTTACATTATAATTAAATAATATATTATTTAAACTATAGTTTAAATTTAATTACGCATCTGTGGAGATGCACAAAGGATCATAAATATTGTTAAAAGTACATATAGAGATGAGAGGTTAAGCAAAAGCCGGCTTTTCGCAGCGTCAGAAACTTCGTTTAAATCGAATAAAGTA